AAAACACAAAATCGTGGCGTGATCATGTGACGGCGAAATGTCGCGAGATGTCGCCATCCACTCGCGATTGTTGTTCCTCAAGCGAAAAAAATGATGCTGCCTCCAAAGCAACGTCTCTTCTGCTATCTTCAAGTGAGAACGTCATTGTTCTTTGCATTGGCACAGCGCTGCCACCATGAACTTCCACCTGTGCCCGCCTGAAATTCATTCATACATCTTCCAACTCGCTTGTCTCGACGATGGTCGCACTGTTCGCGCTTTGAGCCGTGTGTCAAAATACGTCCGGGAAGCTTCCCGACCATACCTATTCCAGTCCCTCTGTATTTCAGGGTCGACACAAATAACAGCACTGGCGTCTGCACTCCAAAACACTGCGCCGCATCTGCGTTATATCCGACATCTATTCCTTTCAACTCACAAAAACACTGCTGATGTCCCACCCACACCAAAAGCCTCAGACGCTGCCGATTCTGCCGCCATTCTTCGTATTCTAACCTTCGCCGCACCGACGTTAGAAACACTTTCATTCATCTCTTCATCACCAACCATGGGCACAAGGGCCATCTCACAGCTATTCCGCACATCTTTTCCCAATCTGCGCGAACTATCCATATCAGGGTTCTACCCATTCCCATCCGCGCCCGGGAAGATGCCGGCGCTGGAGCGGCTGCACTTACATGGCAATCGCAACCCACACGGTCTCTTACAAGCAGGAGGGCTAGACGAGGCCTGCCCCTCGCTTACGCATCTGCGTGTCTCTGGTCTCAGCATGGCCGTGACGTTTGCACTTGAGCTGCAAGAAGCTTTCACGGGCGCCGATGCGTCACCTTTCCCCTCTAAGCTTCCCGGCCGCCTGCGCCACGTCGTTATTGAGCCCGCAACTCCTTTATCGGCATCGGGGAAGAGCGCAGCGAATCAAGCACGAGACGAGTTGATGATGTCGCAGCTCGAACACCTTGAACCTCCACAAAGTGTAGATTTGGTCCTCCTTCCACGAGCTGTAGCAGATGGAGCGTACGATACCTTTAGACAGGACTGGAGTGATAGATTGGATAGAATAACTTTTTGATATCTTGATACCCATTGTTGGTCAATCACAAAAATCAATGAGAGATATGTTCAATTCTTGAATATGATGAGTAAAACTATAACAGATCTATTCTTCAGGGCGCTATAGCCAAGTGGTTACGGCGACAGATTAGAAATCTGTTCCTCTTTGAGGGCGCAGGTTCAAATCCTGCTGGCGTCGCTCATTTCTTTAGATTGCTTTTTTTATTTTCCCCCTGCTAGTCTAATGGATGCACATCCGTAACCCTTATCGTGCACCTCCTCCTTTCGACGCCCTCGCGCGTTCCTATCCTCCTCTTTTGGCCCAGTATGTCTCTGTATCCATCCCTATAATCATCTCGCTTGTAAACTAATTCCTACGACCCAGCTTGCATGGACGAACTATCGACTTCAACGACGATGCAGCCCAACGGTACGTTCGCTCCGTATCTCGACCTTTCTCCGGCTCACTTAGATTGGACAGATGCCTTACGCAAGCCTTACTGAAACGCGACTTTGGTCTGGAGCTCCACCTGCCGTCAGATCGGTTATGCCCTCCCGTACGTCCCTTCCTTCCACAATTCCACTCTTACACATGTGCTTATGACTGGAGCTAGGTTCCTAACAGGTATTATCTTGAACCCACAAAAACTGCCACCAAGTGACCTTATGTTTAACTTAGGCTCAACTACGTGCTTTGGATCCAGGACATCGTCGGAGACCTGCGGAAAGCCGTGCCTTTCGTGTTTGGGAATTTAGGGAGTGCAGGGTGTACTGTCCGGGGGCTTGACGTGTACGTGTTCCCATCCCTTCAGGTCATGGCGCGGCACTGACACTACTTGCTACAGAGGAACAGGCGCGTCTGCAATCTACCCCCTCCTGGCATGCTCACTGGAACCGACATGGAAATTCATCGCTACTGGTGAGATAACAGTCAACTCCGTCGTGCTCCTGCCTGATTCAATGTCTGTTCGACCCTAGAATTGGACAAGCACTCGTATGAACACGCTCAAGCTAACATTCGCGTCAATAAACTGTTGGATCGGATTCATCTTGTCAAGGTCGAGGCTGGGGGGCTACAGGATTCTCATGAAGGCACATCAACGGGCATACAAGAACTTTGTTTCAATTTCGAGGCTTTGTTCCGCATGAGAGAGGAAGAGAAGGATGGGACGAAGTAAGCAGCATACCAACTCACTGCAACGCGCCCGTATCCTTAATTTATCTTTCCTTCTTTCTTCAAGGTCGGGAAACGATGAACTTATAGCTAAACCCGACGACGCGCCCACGACACGCACGCCTGAGATACACTTCACCATGTGCAACCCACCGTTCTATAGCAGCGACGCAGACGTTGCTAACAGCGAGGCCATGAAGGAGAGCAGTGCTTTTGGGGCGAGTATATGCTTTCCTGCTCCCTGGTTCTATTGAGTTAATCATTCTCTGCAGGTATGCACAGGCGCGCCGGTAGAGATGATCACGCCAGGTGGGGAATCCCACTTCGTCAAAGTGATGATACGGGAATCTTTGCGCGATTTCGAAAACTCCGCGGGTCATGACCATGTAGTGAAAAGACGTCGCACGGAGGATGGAGAAACTCGTTTACTAGGAGAAAAAAGTCCTAATGGAAACACAGCGCACCAACAAGGGCTATGTTGGTACACGTCAATGTTGGGCAAAATGGCTTCTGTTGTGGAGATTGTGGAGACTTTCAAAGAGCGCAGCGTATGCCTCTCTCTCTTCTATATGCCTTCTCTGTGGTTGCTAACATGGCATTTAGATATCAAACTACGCGATTACAGAGTTCGTGCAAGGGCAAACTAGACGTTGGGCGGTCGGGTGGTGTGTAGGCGGGTGGAGACTACGCGATGTAAGTCTTACCACACTGATCCCATTCTCTCGGATAACTAAATCGCATTATGATTCTTCAATCTTTAGGACATAACCCGTATCGCGAACCCAAATCCAACCCTCCAGCGCCTCCTCCCTTCCCGCAATAGCCTACACTTCGACCTGCATATAACTAAAATAGATGCCCAAGAACGCTTGATCAGCGCCCTGCGCGGTATCGAAGGCGCCCAGGTGATGGCCGTGGAGAACAATACCGACGCCAGTCACGCTGCAGATGAGGTGACCTCTTCATGGAGCTGTGTCGTTGCAGTAGCGGGCGATACATGGTCGCGAAGCGCACGACGCAAACAGAAGCGCAAGCGAGAACGAGAGGAGGACGCGTCGGGATCTGGGCGTGGGCACGACTCACCTTCCAACTCATCGAAGGAACCAACATATCCAGCGCTCGTATGTGCTCTTGTCCTCCGAGATGGAGATCACGGCGACGCACTCGCAGACGACGCTCAGAATCGGATCCAGACACGGATGGAGGTCCAGTGGGTATATGGCCACGACAGGTCTTTGTTAGAGAGCTTTGCTAGTCATGTTGCAAGGAGAATAACTACAGAGAACGTGACCGCGCTGGCGGGTTGATTTTCTGCATGAGAATTCGAGTGAGACATTGAGCTGACAAAGCGCAAGTTAGATCACTGTGAGACACCATCCTCGACTTTTGTATATTTCACTGATCTTTGACTCTCTCCTTGTCGTTTCGCTCGTCCTGGACCCTAGCTTCAGCTTCGTTTATGCCTTGTGTGCTCTGGCGGAGGTACAGGCAATCGACTGCGCAACCTTTAAGTCGTCATAGCCAAGTGGTTACGGCGACAGATTTGAATTGCTCAATATCTGTTCCTCTTTGAGGGCGTAGGTTCAAATCCTGCTGGCGACGTATCTCCTAGTTCGTTTATGAGACAACTTTTGGAACAATTTCTGAAAAAAATATATGAAACTTGACGTCTCTGAATTTGCCGAGTTGTTTGTCGGGACGAGTCGAAATCTTCGACTTGAAGTATTCCGTTTCGCCTTTCGATCAATCAGTTAAGCAAGATACGTGTACTCTTTGACTAGTTATGGATTCAACATTCACTCGAGTCACCAGCGGATCCATGTCAAGCCGATTGCCTGGATCCGGAGGGTCTTGGACTTCATCGATTCATCTCGTAAACTAGGGGGAATGCTCGCACGGAAAGCTACACCACAACAACATCACGCAGTCTCAACAATATGCTTAATGCACGAGCACCGCTCAAAAAGTGATCTACTCCTTCGAGTTCCCTCTAGCCGACTTGAACGACTGACCTCGTCATAGCCGAATGGTACTAGTGACGCGCTCTACCACTGAGCTAAGAGGGAATGAACTGTCGTCTCTGGTGACATATGAGACGGGCGATGCGGCGGCCATGGCCTCAGAAATGATGCTGGCTTGAAGATGGAGGATGTCGAACCCGAAATAAAGGTCTGGTTGGGGCGACAGAGTCTTTAACGAATTATCTGAACGGTGGATCGGAATTTTAGGATACTGCGATGATAGTCAACGCCATAGTACGCAAGAACGCGCGCCTTCAAGTTGGGTCACAGGAAAAGATATGGTGCGAATTTCCGATCGAGCCGCAGCGCTCACAATACGGGTGAGAGTAAGGTAATTTGGGCATGCCAAGTTCTTGCATAAAAGCCCACCGGTATTCACCACTTGCTCCTGCAGCCCTATTTATTTATTTGCAAATTCAGATACATGATATTCGGGCTAAAACACTTCTACACCTCATCATTGTGGGTTCTATTTGTTAGTTTATTTTGTTCGTACGCGTCGGTTGACACCCAAGAAGCAAGCAGTGAATAGAAGAGCATGGTGGCAACCTGAACAAAGTGCTAGTAATGTGCGGAAGAGTAGAGATGCTGCGGTGAGAGGGATAGTTGGTAAGTATGTGACTTCACGACGCAGTGATAAAAGAGACAACGTACTTGTTGGAGGTTATGTTCATTGTCAAAATGCCGGTCACAATCCGGACAGTAGTAGTGTCTTCGAGACTCCTCATAATGTTGCATAAGCCCATCTTTATCCCCGAAGCTTCTTTTGCAGGTCCTGCACCAGCCATGCCTAGAAACTTTATGCTGGACAAGGTTCTCCAAGGTTTTGCAGTCAATATTACCGTCGCACTCTACGCAGAGGTTGTGACGACGTGAAGTGTATCGATGTTGCTCCAAGGCCTCCTCAGACGGAAAATCTCGGCGGCAACGATTGCAGTATGCCATTATAATATGGAATCTGAGGTTAGTATTGAGAATCTGCTATGTTGTACCATTTGCGGTGAGATGAGCTCAACGAGCGATAACCAAGCACATACCTTGGGTGAAAGGGAAGACGCTAAATAAAACGCCAACGGCTTAATTCCAGAGTCCTTATACCAGAGCTCATTAGCTAAAAGCTAGAAGTCTTTCTCACTTTGGTAATAGTCAAAGCTAATGACGTATATTGATGTACATATATAGTTAGGAGCCGTGTGAGCGTCCAGAAGTACGTTTTGGACGCTTATATAACATGGGCGCTAATAATGTGGCGCTTATACTAACATGGTGTTCTCCGCTATATCACCAAAATATACGAGTTATTACATCCCAACAACAACTAGAATTCACTTTGATCGAGAACCAAGGTTAAACTTATTCACAATCCAGATGTAAACTATAGGCCTCCCCCACCCTTGAATGTCTACATGCTAGCGATCACCTCGTGGCAACTCGGACTCAGCTGATGAAGCTTGATGTTATACATTGATATTTACCTACACTAGCTAATAAATAGCCAAGAATATGCACAAAAGGCGTGACGGGGTAGCATCAAAACCTCAAGGAGGAAAGCTTGCCACCGTGACGAGTCGAACAGTACCGTAGCGAAACAAAAAAGCGAACTTGGAATAGAAAAAAAGTAGTAGTTTAAATAGAACATGCACAGCGGCGCATCCATGACACGAGAAATCAAAACACAGCCATTTACTTCTCATGGCACTGCGCGCGCATTGGTAGTGCCAAAAAAGTCCAGACCTCCAGCTAAACGAAATCTCATTCACACCAGAGTCAGGAACCCAATCCTCGCCACAAGCCCTTCTTCATCCTCAAGTTCTTCCACCGCACCCTCCACCTCCACCTCCAGATTCTTAAACCTCTTCACCCCACACCCTGTAGGGCCATTCTCCACATGCCGACACAGAGCATCGAGTGTCTTGAACCTAGTACTACATGTCGCTTGAGGGCACACATAAGCCGTCCGCTTATGCACCGGGCTCGAGAGGTGATGATTGAGTGCGGGGAGTGTATAGAATTCCCAGTGGCAGATGTAGCATTCGTAGTGCTGTCCATTGAATGCTAATGAGGTAGCGTAGGACGTCATGCCACTGTTGTGGGATTTGGTATTTGTGCTGTTGCGAGCCCATTCGCACGTAGTGATGTCGATGTGCCCATTGTCGCCTGTAGCCGCGCACGTCTCATGTAGATCAAAAGAGACGGCGGACACCTGAAGGCCATGGGCAAGAGAGTAATGGAGATGCTAAAACGAGAGGACGGTTGGTTAGTACTCATAAAGCGAGATTGTGAAGGAGAACGTACCTTCTGAAGATCGTTCTCGCCATTGAAATGGCGATCACATTTAGAACAATAGACGTGCTCGCCAGAATTTGCATAGTGCTGTTTCAACCCATATTTAGTCTTGCAGATTCTATCGCAGGACCGGCACCAGTGGTGAACATGGTGCTTGTGCTCCACGAGTTTGTCGTCGTTGTCAAAGTGCGAATTACACTCCTGGCAATAAGAGTGCCTGGGGCTCTGGACCCAGTGCTCTTTGAGTCCTACCCAGGTGGCAAAGTCGCTCTTTTTGCAGTTGTTCCTTCTGCATGAAGAGCAGATGTTATGACGCGGCGAGTCATTCTCGTGTTGCTCCAAAGCGCGCGAAGAGGAAAAAAATCTGTCGCAGCGATCGCAATATGCCATTTTGGAGCTAAAAATTCAAGTAAATCAGCCAACGTAGTATGTGAAGTGCGAAGAACGACCTCAAAAGTGCAGTAATAATGTGGAAGACAAGTTGAAGTTTGGGAAGAGTCAATGCGTTGCCAACGACAAACAAAGGGGTTGAGTCACGCGGTAAGAGCACGGTCCCGGTGATTGTAAAACCAACTTTTACAACAGCAACATAGCATGGGGGTTCTGTTTAACGCTGACGAGCCACTGCATGGGGGAGGCAACTCCGAGCTGTAAACTAAATGATTTGAGAACAGCGACATAGTACGAGTAATCAGTATGAGGATTTGTCATACACGATAAGATCTGTGCAAATTGTCGACATCAGACTCTACGTAACCGCTGCTAAACAACGATTTACAGGTCACCAGCGATGACGAAGAACGATGGGAAGGCGAATGGTCCGTTTACGATACATTTAGACACGACTTCAGTTTCGACACATAAAGGAGCCGGCGCGACTAGGTTGGGTGGCGAGCGTAGGGTCTGGGGAATAGTACTTCGAGGAAATCGTCAAGTGCGCGAGGGCTGGGGGACCTTCAGCGCTGCCTCGATGCGACGAAAACCCAGGGTCGAAACTCAAAGTCCAGCTGACACGTCCTTGTCCCGCGGCCCCGACTTATCATCGTTTTGACATCAAGCCATATGGACTTACATACTTCTTTCTTTACATAGTGCAGTCTCATCCGTTTATAGCTAGGCCCAGGCGCAAGAGCACGCGCGCTGGATTGTCCATGTTTGTAATTTTCTGCCTCGTTTGACAGCGAGCAGACTCATGTGAAAACTCGCCTTTTTGCTCTCTGCCAGCGTGCACGCTTAGCTTTCTGGTCATTTTCTCGGTTTTTCTCTGGTCTGGTTTCCCTTGTGTTTCGGTTCTCTAGTCTTCACAGGTGTTTTACGCTTGTCAGACGGCTAGATCTCTGTTTTGAAGAAGTCTTATCCGACTAAATCTTCGGGCTACGGTACGTGGCCTATCCAAACCTTATTTTACCCATTTTTCCCTTCATCCGCACCCTGCCATTTCCCATTTGGGCTTCTCTCTAGGCCTGAATACCTTGATCCTTTGACGAAGGGTCTCCTCTTTTCTTTTCGCGAGACGTAAGAGTTTTCTTCCATACCTTGTGGTCCACGATAGACGTCAAATACCCCGCTTGGGCATTGGAAATGTCCCGACGTTCCCAAGATGTACCTTTATTGGTCATAAATCATGAAAATATAACCGACTCCATGGCTTACAGTGCTTTACTGCAAATCTTGGTGTCATATTCACCTCGCATTCGAGAATTCTCGTTAGTAGCTCACCACTGGCACCCGCTTTTACCAATAAACATAGATGCTTATCGGGCCGTCCTCCAGTTTTTGGCTGAGCACGATTTCCCAGACATGGACCGTCTCGAAATGCGGTCTTACATCTCGAGTTCCGATGCCCATGATCTCAGCCACCCTCAGCTTTTGCACAGAATTATCACGCGATCAGTTTCTCTGAAAAATCTTGCACTTAGAGGTTATGAAATAGACTGGAGGCTGTCTCTGGCTTCTGAAGGCCTGAAATCCCTGGAAATACATGGTATTCCGGTGCACTTGCAACCTTCGATGGCTCAGCTTTCGTGTTTTCTTTCACGGGTTCCTCTCCTTGAGACTCTTTCACTCGGTCTCCATCCAGGTATGTCATTCTCGAACGCAGAGCACGTACACATGGAGTACCTCAAAGAGCTCAAGGTCTCATGCCAAAGCCCGGCTATCCTCGGGTCCTTTTTTGAATGTCTGACATTCCCAGAAGACAGTATCATTACTGCCGACCTTGATGATGTTCCTTCTCCTGACATGACGTTCATTGCGGCTCTCCGAAACTTAACCATTAAGTTGGACAATATAACCAGTGGTCCAATCTTGGAACTCGCATGCGACCGTGACTCTGTCTGGGTCCGATGTTGGAAGCGCAAACAAAGGCGGTCAGAGGGGGAACCACCTTCACTCGTCATTGAATGTCACTGTCCGTCCAGAGTCACGACTGCCATTTTGCGATCACTTTGCTTAGACCGACTAATGTATCTGGAGATGAACGAACTCATCGGGGACGCGCGCCATGAGGATGCAGTTTATTGGTCCTCTATCGGTACCCTTCCCCAACTCATAGAGCTCAAGGCGGTTGGATTCGCAGAACCCGTGATCACGCTGCTATCATCGAGTTCTGAGTCGTTGTCTAATGCCATAACTCAGACCGCTTTGCACCCGCATTTCCAGCATTGACAAACCTTACAATTGAGGACTGGTGCTTTCATTACTTTTGGGCCAATTCCACGACGGTTGAAAAGCTGTTAGACTGGACCACGCTCAGGAAG